AACCACTCAATTCAACAATATGCAAATAATCTCAAGAAGTCATAGTAGAATTAGTCTTGAGCGGAAATTTTCATTATAACAATGAGTTTGAGACCCACCAATAATTTGAATACAATTTTATAAGATACCAATTAAATTTGCTATAGTTTTAAGGTTTGATCCCGACTTTTGAGTAAGAAATCACATATTAATAAATTAGAAAAAATGTTCAAAATTTACCCTAATCTTAATAATATAGATGTTTCAAATTTGACTCAATTTTTACCACAAATTTTTAATTTCATCAAATTGGACTTTAGACTTTGATAAAATGATGCAATATTGATCTTAAATTCGAATAGTATTGCAATATTATTCTCAATAAAATGATCAAAGGCTGCGAAACTCAGACGACAGAAGACAGAAGAATGGAGAGACTTGCAAAAGATAGTAACAGTTCCAAGTCTGTCTTTTGACGTTCAAATCAGTAATATTTATTTGATCTATTGTTCGAGAGAGAATCGTTTCGCGTATCTGAAATATGAAGTGAGACTCTCTATTTATAGAGATAAGCTTCCGACAAGGTCTCCAATACTATTATGACAGTGTCAGGAATCACAACTTGTTGTCTAAATTTCAGTGGGAGCTGGTAAATGCCTAAAAAATTCTCGAATGCCGCCTCGTCCTTTAGGAAGGTTGACCATTGTAGATAAAATAGATCGGCTCATCCTTTGAAAAGACCTCCGACTAAGCTTGCATAACTCAACTCTGACCTATAATTTTTACTTTTATAATAGGATTTCGTTTGAAGAATCGTTAGTGTGTATACTTTGTTATAAAATTAGTAGGCAAGCATAGCATAATTGAAATAAAATGTAAAATTGTAATACGTTGTTTAAATAGGAGTTCAAATCGGATGAAATTTAAAGTTTAAATTGAAAATTTGATAACCTAGTGAACTTTAGGAGTAAAAATTAATTTTACCCTCAGACGATTAGTCATCTTCTCATGGAGAGCGTCATGTTTGTAAAAGTTAAATACTTCCTCATAGTATTTTTAATAAACATCTCTCCTCATAAGTCATGCCTAATAAATCAAATGACACGTCCTCCTCTCATCAAATCACACGTACTCTCCTCTATTAAATTATCTTATTAATAATTTTTACCATTGGAAAAAAATTTAGTACAACGACCTTTAACAAATTAAAATAAGTTCCGTCAAAAAAAAAATAAATAAATAAAATAAGTCGTTAGGTGAAAGTTTCCTTATACCATATTATATATCTACCGACAAAATTCCCAACAACAAGTCCTGCAAGCAGAATGAACTTCTGCATTTTATTTATTTATTTATTGTTTTTACCAAACTTCGGCTTTTTGTTGAATCTTCTTCTTCGTTTTCATTTTATTATTATTATTATTATTTTTATCAATCCTTCTTTTTATTTTCTATTAAGAATACTCAACATGATTTAAATCCAAAAGTACTATTCTCTACAAATAAGACAAAGAATTAGTCATCAGCCCAAATTTTCTTTCTTTTTAAAACACAACTTAGTAAATAAAGTAGCAATTATATTCCTTAAATTTAAGGTTTGATTCCTCACCCCAAGTTTAGTGGTATTTATAAATTAAAAAAATATCAACTTTTACCTATAAACTTAGCAAAATGTATATATCAATAGAACCCTTTAGACTTAAACAAAAATGTTGCAATCTTATTTTAAATTTGAATAAATGTTGCAATTTTTATATTTTGATAAGATTTCTTACCAAGAATCATTTAAACAAGAAAAAAAATATCATATATGGTCAACGAATTATACAAATCATTAACTTAGTATATAACGACACACTTGAAAGAAATATGACAATAGATATAGATTATTTGGTGAAATTTGTAAGTTTTGAGACATTTATTCAATGATCAAAAATTGATCGAACTTACTTTTGTGCAAGACTCGAGTTACACTACAACTAGAAATCTAGGGTTCAACAATTTGATGAAAGTTTAGGATGAAAATTGATATACTCCCCCACTAATCTAGAGGTAAATTTTGATTTTTCTCGAACGAAGAAGTTGGATACATGAAGGACAAGCTCAAGATCCAACAAATAGAAATTATAATAAATAAGGAGGAACAACAACGCATGGATTCGAGCACAGGACCTCCCACTCCGATACCATCAGAAGAATGAATAAACCATCACTCAACCCAAAAGCTTAAGTTAATGGGTTGGGTATGGATTCTAACAAATACTTTTTATTTCTTTCTTGCAAGAATAATTGGAGATAGATAAACTGATCAAAATTGAATGGATTTAGTTAAATCGTGATTTATATATCGGTGGCTTAAATTTTTTCTGATAATAACCGAATGCCTTCTAAGTTGGAGAGAAAATTAGAATTGGAAAATTGAGAACATTGCATGATGATACTGATATCCACATATCATCAACTTTTTTTTTTTTTGACAGAGCCATCAAGTTGGTCATATACATATACAAATTACAGGTAGTTAAAATTGAAGTCTACATATTTTCAATGATATACAAACATATATATAACTCATGGATTGCGTTAAATATAATATTTTCTTTTTGAGAAAAATTGCTTTAAATATAATTAATAATATTGCAAAAAGTTATTTTACTAATAAATTACTCTAGCATATATTAATAGGGAAATACCGTTAAAAAAAACATGTTGAAAGTACTAGAAGACTCCTTTCGAAGCATGGAATAAGAGGAAACCTGTTGTTCATCACTTCAAAGTTTTTTGCTGCCCAACTTATTCTCCAGTTCCTTCCCGAGAAAGAGAAAAGTTCGATAAAAAATGAGCTAAATACTTATTCATCGGCCACAGTGATGAATCAAAGGGATATCGATTGCTAGATCTAGAGACGAAGAAATTGTTGAAATCAAGAGATATAATATTTGATGAAATGGCCACATGGTATTTTGAGAATAATGGTTCTCAACCTTCCCAACGATACAAAGATATTCAAGAGCTTGATAGCCAACAAGACTCTCAGAATTTGAGCTTACCAAGAAGATTTCCTTCAATTCTTACGAGATCGCCAGTTGAAGCTACTTCAAATCAAGAAAGCTCGAAATCTCCCCCAAGAAGAATGCGTTCTTTGCAAGATATTTATGCTTCAAGTGAACATTTTGCAATGTTTGCTTGTGAGCCACAAAATTTTGATGAGGCAGCAAAAGAAGAAGTTTGGATCAAAGCTATGGATGAAGAAATGGCTAGCATCGAAAGAAATAAGACAGGGGAGCTTCAAGACTTTCCACCAGGAAAAGAAGCGATTGCCTTAAGATGGGTCTTTAAGACCAAATTTAAAGAAGATGGTTCTATTCAGAAGCACAAAGCTCGTCTAGTGGCAAAAGACTATTCCCAACAGCCTGGTGTCGACTTTAACGAGACTTTTGCACCAATAGCTCGCATGGAGACAATAAGAACTGTTCTTGCTTTAGCAGCCCGGTTACAATTGAATGTGTTTCAACTGGATGTCAAATCTACTTTGTTAAATGACGAGCTGGAAGAAGAAGTATACGTAGAGCAGCGTCAATGATATATTGTTTTCATGGAAAGGAGGAAAAAGTTTATCGACTCCATAAGGCTTTGTACAGATTAAAGCAAGCGCCTCATGCATGGAACAGTAAAATCAATGGATATTTCTGCATAAGAGATTTCCGAAAAGCCCCATGAACCATCTCTCTATGTGAAGAAGGAAGCTACGAATTTCCTTGTTGTTTGCTTATATGTCGATGATCTAATCTATTTTGGGACTAACTCAGAAATGCTCGAAGAATTAAAACAAAGTATGATAAAGAATTTTGAAATGACTGATTTGGGTCTCATGAAACATTTTCTTGGAATTCAAGTAAAGCAAACATATCAAGGTGAGATTTTTCTTTCTCAAGAAAAATATATTGATGATTTACTCAAGAAATTTCATATGAGCAATTGCAATCGTACTGCGACTCTCATGGCACCCAATAAGAAGTTATGTTGTGAAGATAAATCTGGTAAAAAGCATATCCATGGACTTTTTGAAGTCTAGTTGGTTCATTAATCTATCTTACTAATACCAGACCATATATTATGCATTCTGTCAACATTATTCAAGGTACTTGAATGATCGAAGCAAATATCGTTATGCTGCTGCAAAAAGAGTTTTGAGATTTTTACAGGGTACTAAAAGTCATGAGCTCAAGTATGTAAGCGAGAAAGATTGCAAGCTCATTGGCTACACTGACAGTGATTGGGCAAGTTCTCTTGATGATCGAAAGAGTACTTCAGGAATATGTGTTTTGTTTAGGATCTAATGTAATATCTTGGAGTTTGAAAAAGCAACAAACTGTAGCTTTGTCTTTCGCTGAAGCAGAATATACAGTCGCAACTGAAGCCGCTTGTGAAGCTGTTTGGCTTAGGACAATCCTCAAAGATATTCAAATGGAGCAGGTGATGCGACAAAAATCTTATGCAATAATATGTCAGCAATTGCAATGACAAAAAAATCATGTCTTTCATGCTCGGTCCAAGCATATTGAGCTACGTTATCACTATATCAAAGATTTGGTAAACAAAGAATAAATATTTTTGGAGTTCATCAACACCAATGATCAATCAGCAGATATGTTCACCAGCTTTTATGATTGAGAAGTTTGAGAAGTTCAAGAAGTTTTTGAAAATTACAAATTAAGAGGGGACGCTGAAAAATAGTAATTTGTAATTTTCAAACATGTTAGAAGCTTCTAAATTATCTACACAAAATAGCTTTCTATAGATTTATGTTGAAGTTTGTAAATAAATATGTAAATAAAATACCCTATAATCATCTAGCTTTTTTGCTAAGTTCCAAGAAATTTTAGAGAATTTCTTTCGATAAGAATAGATTAATATGTATCTAGAAATCTCCTTAACTCTCTAGAATTCTCTATAACTTCTCTCAAACATCTATAAATAGATGTGTTATCTCTCGTAATCATTACAAGAAAAATCAAAACTTAAATTAATAAAAGTGTCCAAGCACAATATTAGGAGTTTCTCCGCGTCCTTGTCTCCCCATTTTAAATCATTCTCCTGCTTTCTTTCATTGCCTCCAACATGGTCAGATTCGGTTCCGGCGAAATAAAAGCAACCTCAGAAGAATTAGTCACTTCCGCTGAACCCACCACTAGCGTTCAAACCAAAGTCATCATTGTCAAAAAGTTACTGAATATCGGAGAAACCCATCCGATTTTACCCATACCCATTATCTTTCCTCGAAAGTTTCTCAAACTCCAGTTCGTTAGCACCCACCTCGACCCCCGTAAGTTTCTCACCTTTTCATTTACACTCAATCATATAAAATAGTTTTGTTCTTAATCGTTTGAGTTAAATAACTTGGAGACGTTTTAATTTAGTTCAACTTTAGTTTTGTTATTGACCTAAAACAAGTTTTCATGACTAATTAATCTATTACAAGAGTCCAAAAATAACATAGAATTTGAGTTAACAAAATGTTGCTATTTTGTTAACTCAAATTCGATTTTATTTTTTTCCAGTTTAGATATTTTCTTAAAAAATAGTCAATAGTGTAATGTGGGGTGGAGGAAGACAGTTTTTTATTTTGAAATTTGACAACCAAAAAATCATTCATTCGAAAAAAAAAACGTGTATAACATCTGTTTTGGAATATAAAAATGTATAAAAACTAAAATTTTGTGGTTTGTTGGGGGTACAAATTTTAGGTAGTAGGTCGGAGAAGTTGATCACAGTTGAGGCAAAACACAGCAGTGAGTGCCCGTTGGAGGAAATTCACGAGGCAGGCTTCAAAATTCCCTCAGATTTCGGTGAGATTGGGGCCGTGATTGTGGAGAACCACAATGAAGAGGAGATGTACGTGAAGCAGGTTGAGCTCAGTGGGCTGCAGCCTTCAGGTGATCCCTTCACCATCACCATCTCCTGCAACTCATGGGTCCAACCCAAGACTCTAATTCCTGACCAAAACAGGGTCTTCTTCACCAACAAGGTCAGCTCACTGCTCACACTCACACTACCCATAAACCAAAGCGTATAATTAGCTTAGCCAGTCAAATTTTGCCCCCTCCCTAACAAATTTGTAGCTGGCGTACAGTCATATTTGCCATCCCAGACCCCGGATGGGCTCGAGATGTTGAGGGAAAGGGAGCTCGCCAATCTTCGAGGCAATGGTACTGGAGAGCGTAAAAGTTACGATAGAATCTATGACTATGATGTTTACAATGACCTCGGAGATCCCGACACAAGTGAAGATCTCAAAAGACCAATTCTTGGTGGCCCTCAACATCCTTATCCGAGACGTTGCAGAACCGGTCGTCCACGTACTAAAACAGGTACAACTACAACTACTCTTGGAAGTTAGATTTTTAGTTCCCAACGGTGAGGACCAAATTTGACAACTTACTAAATTTGACAAGATTGTTTTTTACTACGAAGGAGGCAAGTATTTTTCTTAATTACTAACTGATTAATGTAATATTTGTGTAGACCAAGAATCGGAGCAACGGGCAGAAAGGGTAATATATGTCCCACGAGATGAGGCATTCTCTGAATTAAAGTTCGGAACCACGGCGTTGTCTGCATTACATATCTTTTTACGGGATTTCGTTGAACACTTTGATCAAAACTCTGGATTCCCCAACTTCACGGCAATCGATGAACTTTTCAACCTTCAAGGCTTAAAACTAAAAATACCCCTTCAATATACCCCCATACCCGGTCTGAATGACCTTGTGCCTTTGTTAATCGAATTCCTCCATGAAAACCAAGAATATTTGTTACACTTTCAAATTCCTGAACCCATGAAAAGTGAGCTCCCCCCTCTCTCTTTCTCTCTACTCATCTTACTCTCCCATTATTCTTACATTAGTTAATTAATTAAACAGGAGACAAGTTCTTTTGGTTAAGAGATAAAGAATTCGCGAGGCAAACTCTCGCTGGTTCTAACCCAAGCGTCATACAGTTGGTCAAGGTATGAAAATACTTAATTAATTATTATTTAATTCATCTTCATCAATAGAATACCCAAATAATATAATAATAAGTAACATTTTGTAGGAATGGCCAATTAGGAGCCAACTCGACCCGGAAATCTATGGTTGTCCTGAATCAGCATTCAATACCCATATGATTAATCAACAAATTGGGGGCTCCATAACCGTTGGAGAGGTATTAAATAGTACTTAATCATGCCACCACACATACAAATTACACATACACATATATTATAACATATTATCCTTTCTTTTTTGGATGCAGGCCATTCAGAAGAAAAAGCTTTTTGTATTGGATTACCATGACTTGTTGCTGCCATATGTGCAAAAGGTGAGAGCCCTTAAAGGAGCAACATTGTATGGATCGAGGACATTGTTTTTTTTAAATGAAGACGAGACACTTAGACCGCTAGCTATAGAGCTTACTCGCCCACCCATGGACGAGAAATCATCGCAGTGGAAGAGAGTTTATGGACCCAGCGAGAACGCCACTAGTCTATGGCTTTGGAGATTTGCCAAAGCACATGTTCTTGCCCACGATGCTGGTTATCATCAACTCGTCAGCCATTGGTAAATATATATTTATTATCCCACTAAACTAAACGCTTTACTTTTGTAGAAAATCTTTAATTAATAATTTGGTTTTGTTTCATGCAGGTTAAAAACTCACTGCGCCGTGGAGCCTTATGCCATAGCCACAAACCGACAATTGAGTGCAATGCATCCTATCTATAGACTTCTACATCCTCATTTTAGGTACACTCTTGAGATCAACGCAGAAGGTCGTCAACTTATTGCGAATGCTGGTGGGATAATCGAGACCACATTCTCACCGCTAAAATATTCCATGGAGTTGAGTTCTGCGGCCTATGATCTTCAATGGCAGTTTGACTTACAGGCCCTGCCAGCCGACCTAATTCATAGGTGAAATGTTGATTAATTATAATTGAAATATGTACTAAAACTTGATCACTTTACTTTTTTTTTTTCCATTTTTCCTCCTAATTAATTACTTGGTGTTGGGCATATAATGGTAGAGGACTTGCGGAGGAGGACCCAACAGCTCGACACGGTTTGAAATTGCACATCAAAGACTATCCTTATGCTAATGACGGTCTGATTTTGTGGGATGCTCTGAAACAATGGGTGACAGAGTACGTGAACCATTACTATCCAGACCAATATAGGGTAATATCTGACAAAGAACTCCAAGCATGGTGGAGTGAGATTAGAAATGTGGGCCACGGGGACAAACAAGAGGAGCCATGGTGGCCACTCCTCAACACTCCCCAAGATCTTATAGATATAGTCACAAACATGGCGTGGGTTGCATCTGCTTACCATGCAGCCGTCAACTTTGGGCAATATGCTTATGCAGGCTATTTTCCCAACAAGCCCAGCATAGTAAGAACCAACATGCCCACCGAAGATAATATCGACTCTGCACTTTGGAAAAGTTTCTATGAGAAGCCAGACGAGATGCTTCTCAATGCCCTCCCCACGCAATATCAAGCCACCAAGGTGATGGCGGTGACGAATCTGTTGTCGGCTCACTCTCCAGATGAGGAGTATCTTGGCAAAAACATGGAGCCATCGTGGGGCGATGATCATGTAATAAAGGAAGCATTTGAAAGGTTCAGTAGGAAGATGAAGGATTTGGAGTTGATAATTGATGATAGGAATGCTGATCACAACTTGAAGAATAGGACTGGAGCGGGAGTCACTCCCTATGAGCTTTTGAAGCCATTTTCAGGATGTGGGGTCACTGGAAAGGGAGTTCCATACAGTGTTTCTATTTGAGAGTTGAGACCCATTGAAGCCGAGCATCAAGATCATATATATGTATTACACATTAAGTGGTGATATATATATATACACTATGAAATAAATAATGATCCTATTCCTATTTCCTAGGTATATCGTTGGAATTTATTAATCTGTTTACAGTCAAGCACAATTAAACTGCTTATATTTAACACAACTCAAAAACTAATTTGTATTCAGCCAACTTACCATAACATGGATTACCACCTGTTGGAGGCCGTTTATCACCTGCCACGTGTCAGACAGAAAATCTACTTAAACAACGACAATTGGTGTCGTTCAAGTCTGGTTAGTTGGATATATAGCATCCGGCCGGGCCGACCTACTTGTTATTATTTTCGGCTAACTCAATGAGGGTCTGAGCCAAGCGACTGAAGATATCTGCAGGTGCATAAATAGCGCACCATTTCTGACAATGTGTCGCGTTTCACGAGCGATCGGATGATCGTTATATCGCTGTAGGAAGTCTTATCGAACATTATTCCTATAAATAGGGATGTCTGCCCCATAAGCAAAGTACATGAAGCCATTTACACTTTGAGCTTAGATTGGATTGAGGCTAACTTGCTTGTCGGAGTGCTAACCTTGTTTTGTAGTTTTTTAGGGAGTAGCTTAGAAATCGACTAAGGTTCTTCGATCTTTGGAGATTTTAAACTTGACCAAATTTTGGATCAAACATGACTATAGCGTTAACTAAAGAGATTCGTGAAAATAGTCATAGTTGCAAGGACTGAGATATAAATTGTGAATTGCTTCGGTAATTAAGGGCATATAATATTATGTGAATCAAATGGTAAATGAATTCAGTGGATATATATATACTATTAATTTATTTTTTAAAATTGTTTTCGAATTCTGTGAGATAAAGGATGGAAATTATGAAAACGTGTTCTCAAATTTTTAATTTTAAACCTTAAAATGATAAAGACTTGGATAAATATATTATTTCATTATTATATACTCATTTCAATTTTATTAAAATTAAAAAAATGTAAAATGTTATAAATTATTAAATAATAATTTTACAAAATTTATAAAATATATATTAATTAATTAATTAATATTATTTTAAATTGAACTCATTTTTCTTTTCAAAATAAATTGAACTAATTATTACCTACCACTAGTTTGCATTGCAAAATTTATTACTAACAGGTTGAAAATGCAATTATGCTTTTCATGTTGAATAATTTATTTTCAAATTTATGATTACTAACCAAATGAAGCCAAAGTTATCTACAAAATTGATTAATATTAGGTATAGACTTATTGGTTATCATCCCTTCAAGTTTAATCATTAACATTTCCTAAAAGATAATTAATATAATTTTTTCCGTAAATTTACTACGTATCATTTGGTATTAATTATTTTGTATTTGACAGATAGGTATAAATACCTCTGTCTTTTGATCACAATTGATTAATGAGAAAGATCTCCAGCTATTCGTGATCGTTATCTCTCTTCCCTCATTTTTGGGTTAAAAATCTATTGTTTTAGAAACTTGAAATGGTATCTGGGCCTAGGTCAAACCGCTCAAAGCTCAAGATCATGACTACTGTACCTTCATAAAGGAATTCTGATTTAGTTTCAACGAATCAGAATTCACTGCCGATCAATCCGAGAAACAAAATCTCGACGGTCAAATTGAGCGATGAAATGTTTTTGTTACGACGATTACAAGTAATCACAATCCGGCAAGGTCACAGTTTAGAAAGATTCATCGCTTCAAAATAAAAAGAATTGCACCAAAATTTCTTCCATGAGAAACTCTGAATCAAGAATTCTTTAATTGGACCAGGCCAGATAAATTGATTACTTCATGGCTTCTTCGATCCATGACTGAAGAGATTTTATCTCAGATGCTCGATGTGTAATAGATAACGAGGTTTGGACCATCCAATTTTAAAATGACACCTTTACACAAATGATTTACATTTGTAATATATCTGACTACCGATATATGTATAATATACATCTGATATATATAAATGTTTGATATACTATGTTATGAGTGTCTGTGTAATATGTGATATACATCAAATATATTATTGATATAAGTGTCTGATATAATACTGATATGAATATCTGATATACTACTAATATAAGTAAAAAGTTTTGTTATATTTGAAAATTTTAAAAAATAGGTGACATATTTTGAAATACATAAAAAAATTTGCTACCCACTACAATTTTCGAAAAAATTATCATATTTTTACCAATAATTTGTATATATGGCACCACAACATCAATTTTTTAGATTATAGGATCAATTTGTTCTAAATTTGAAAAACATATGCATGGATAAAATCTTGCTACAAACAAAAACTTTTTTAAAATGTGTTATCAAACGCAAATAAAAATTTTGTTAGTTGCCTAAGGTGGAAAAAATCTTATTACTAATATTATTTTTAATATGTTTAGTTTGAATGTTAGATATTATTATATGAATTAAATTTACGCAACTCATTAATTTAAGATTTTGGGTTGAGTGGTGGTTAACTCATCTGTAAAATTGTACTAGAGTCGGAAGTCTTGTGTTCGAAACCCTATGTTATTCGACCCTTTTTCGTAGGTCACATATTTTCTTCATCCTTCTTTGATTTTTGTTTTCGAAATCTCGAGCTCGATTTAATCTTGATTTTTATTTTTGAAATTTCGAGTTTGACTTAATTTTAATTTTTTTTATTTAATCAGAGAATGGAAAAAATCCAAATTGAGTTCGTTGTTGATTTATGGCATCGTACCCAGTGAATGGAAAAAACTGAAGATAGTGGCGTGGCCACTCGTATGGCTGTGTCGCTGAGTCGTCTCACTTTGGACCACGCTCTATTGGAAAAGATATCTTCTACTTGTTCTTCCAGTTGGTCTCTAGATTGTCATGGAAAAAAATCAACTATTGGAGGAAAGATTTGAATTTTTGATTTATCATTCTATGACAAAGGTGAAAATAGAAGGATTAAAAGGTCATTTTAATTCCACATTTTATCTGCAAAAAGATCACAAAAACTTGAAAATTTAAAAGGAGTTAAAAATCCCATCCCAGAAATTGTAGAGGTCAACAATGTCAATTTTTAAAAATAAATGTATCTTAAAAGTTCAAACTCATAATTTAACTATCATTTTATTAATACATTATTAGAACATATATTAAATAAAGAATATAAAAGAGTATTAATTATTATTTTTAGTTAAATTGAATTTGGCACGCATATCAAGATTGGCCGATGCCGACAAGATTGATTAGATTTGCCCAATAATTAATTGTTTTGTGTCTTCGTTTGTCTTTTAATGGGTCTGCCCTATCCGACTTTTCAACACCTTACTATTTTTTGCCCCTTTTTTCCACGGCTGCGGATTTCATTCTTTTTAGTATAATATGTGACAGAAACTTGTTTTTTTTTTATCATATATAAATATTCTACCAAGTTGAATTCTACTTAAGTTATTTGATGGTAGATCTAATTATCAATTTTTAGACTGAACAATAAATATTGAATTATTTTATCGATTGAATTATGACAGATTAATTCTAGATTTTGGTTTTTTATCTACTAATCCGGAGCTTAAAAGACAACTTTTTAGAAATTTAACATTAAAGATCTCACAGGTGTTCTTTTAGGGTTTTTTTTTTTTTTTTAGGATTATAAAATTTCTCTATTTGGCTTTATAATTTAGCCAGCGAAGATATTTCCACGCGTGATGTGTTCTTCTTTCCGCTCGCCAGAAAACTTCCTATCCTCCCGCAATATGAAAATTTTCCATACCTCTCCGTTTATAGTGTCATGGGTAAATTTTGTCTATTACCATACAAATAAAAAAAAATACATATTCTTTAAGTGTAATCTAGGAATAAAAATTATATGTTAGATTCTATCCTCTCTTTTTCACTCAAGCAAATACAACCTCAATTTTTTATGACAACCAAGATGGTTGAAAATCAAATAGTTTTGATGTGGGGACATGATATATATATAGGAGAAAAGTTTTAGTATGATATCAAAATTGCTTATTATAACCTTCTTTTGGTTAATAGTTGATTCATATTTTCACATTTAATTCCTTTTTTTTAATAAAATGTTGTCTTATTATAATATTGATTAAATGGAATAAAAGGTTCTAAAAAATTAAATGAGACAAAATAATTATTTAATTATTTGAAAATAAAATTATAAATAAAAAGAAAATATCACAATAAAATAAACGTTCTTTCTTATTTTAGAAACCTGTAAATGGAAATAGATAGTTAGTGAAGAAAGTAAAATAATAAGAGAAAAAATGAAGACGTCCAGAAAAAACAAATTGAAATAGCAATGAAAGAAAATCAAAAGAAATATTGCAAATAACAATAGAAAAATATAGCTCAAAAAAAAAAAAACAATAGATAAATAATAATGAAGATAAATAATAAATAGCCACGTAATCAGGTAGGAGAGAGATATTTTTATTTTCAAACATGTGGACTCCAGTTCCACTTTAAAAATATGTATTGTTATTTGTATAAATATCATACACACATAACACATGAAAAACTTTCTTATTATGAAAATTTCCTCGGGAAGGAGGATAGGAATTTCTCTTTCTCTCTCTGGACCATAGGTCTCTTTATTAATATTTATGATTCCAACTTAAAATCAATTGGTAATAAGAAAAATAATCAATGAACTTTCTCTTTTCTTTTTAAATCTGAGATCCTTAACCATCCTCAATTATAACCAAGATATTAAGGGTTGATTTTCTTAGATATTTAGGTACAAAGTCAAAAATTAAAAAATATTTTTTTATTTCTAATAATTAAAAATGATTAATATATATATATATATATATATATATATATATTGATTTTGTTGTTTTTTTCACGTGATCGATTTTTTTGTACTATAATAAAAATATCACGTATTGATGGATATTTAATATGAGTTGAGTGTATGGTTGTTTTGTGAGATTAGTTGAGGTATACACATACACTAGTAGATATAAAAATATATATATAAATTGTTTTTTTTGGGGGCAAAGGATAAGATGAAAATAAAGTAAGATATCCGCGTGTCGTTGTCCGTCCTACTGTACTCCCCACCCTCCCTATTTTTGGTGTCTCTCTTATTTACTATTTCCCTACCACGTTCGACCCCTCT